CTCTCTCTCTCTCTCTCTCTCTCTCTCTCTCTCTCTCTCTCTCTCTCTCTCTCTTAATACTAGTAAAGACTAAGTCTACCACACAGCAGAGGCCTCATTCTCCCCATACTGCCGGTCAAATGCGCACACCAGGAACCTGCCAGTAGTTCAAACCTGCATTTTGTGGTGTCTAGCTGCCTGTATGAGACATGAAGCAGGAACCTGCTTTTGGCTATGTTCAGAATTGTTTATTAAATATTGTTAGGTTTAAGATGGAAACTTGAGCTGTTGGGCGTCATTTGTTGTTGGAGAATTTCTCTCCAGCTCCCGCAAACCAAGTCCCACCAGTTCCAGAACCCACTTATAAAATAAACATACAGACGCTTATATTATTTAAACTGTTTGGCCATTAGCTCAGGCTTATCATTGTCTAGCTCTTACTCTTATATTTAGCCCATTTCTATTAATCTTTACTTTGCCACGTGATTCATGGCTTACTGGTACTTTACATGCTGCGTGTCCTGGCGGTGGCTGGCAGTGTCTCTCCTTCCTGTTTCCTCAATTCTCCACTCTCCTTGTCCCGCCTATACTTCCTGCCTGGTCACTGGCCAATCAGTGTTTTATTTATATAGAGCGATATCCACAGCAGAAGTGGGAGAGGACACAGAAGAGGAAGAAGGGAGGAGAGAGAGGGGGGTAAAATGATGGAATTCATGAAGAAAGTATCAAAAATAATTTAAAGATATTTCAAGTCAATAATATCTGAATGTTAACCCTAAAATTGAGGCCATAAAACAGTGTGTTTCACGCTCACAATAATTTCACCATGTAAAGATTTTGTCACTATAACTTCAATTCATTACTTTTTATTATTTTTTATTCATTTTACATACCAATCAGAGACCCCCTCTCATCCCTCCTCCTGCTCATCCCACCCCAGCCTTTCCCCGACCCTGGACCTACCGCAGATTAGACTACTAGCAACAGTGGTGAGGGTTCCTGAACTTGCCTATCCTGGTAATCAGATTCATGGCTACCCTAACTGATGGAAGCAGATGCAGAGATCCACAGCCAAGCACCGGCCAAGCTCTGGGAGTCGAGTCAAAGAGAGGGAAGAGGGATTCCATGAGCAAGGAGAGTCAAGATCATGATGGGAAACCTGCAGAGACAACTGAACCAACTCAAAGTGGAACATTTTTTCCCTTGTGTCTTCCATTTTGGTAAGAAGTCAAATGTTAGCTTATGAAGTGTTCTTCAGAAACATGTACATCCACAAGCATTTCTTGTATTTTCACAATCTCTGCCAATACTCTAATATATTCGTTCTGTGTGTTATTTATCTATGCCAATAAAATGTCACCAGTCTCTGATGTCACATCACAAAATATGACTGTTCTTCGTGCTTGCTGTTGTTACACTAAGGGATCATGGTCTCTTAACTGAAAAACCAAATGTCTAGTTATTTGGTATTTTTCATTATATATTACTCATATATAAATCTCCTTTGATGTTTTCTATGGTTTGTTTTATTCTGGGCTTTTAAATTTACTTTTCTAATTCAGTTATTTTCAATTCTCTATCATTTTTTTCCACATTCCTAATTTTCTTTACATTTCATGTGAGACAAATTTTGAATTTTTCATTTTAAAAATTTTTTTCTATGAAGAAAAATTTTTCATTCATTTTACATAACAAAGATCCCCCTCCTCTTCCCTTCCCCTTCCCCGCCCTTCCCCGCCAAGTCTGCCCCTCCCAACTTATCCCCCACAAGAAGGCCAGGGCCTCCCATGTGGAGGCACATCTAGTAGAGGCAAGTCCAAACCCTTCCCCCTGTCTCAAGGTTATAGGAGGTGCCCCATCATAGGGTGTGGGGTCCCAAAAGCCTGCTCATGTACCAGGGATGGATTCTGATCCTACTGCTAGGTGGGCCCCCAAACAGACTACACAACTGTCTTATCACACAGAGGGCCTAGTCTAGTCCCATGAAGGCTCCGCAGCCATTGATCTAACTTTTATGAGTTCTCTCTAGTTTGGTTTGGTCATCTCTGTAGGTTTCCCCATCATGATCCTGACGCACTTGCTTGTAGAATCCCTCTTCTCTCTCTTTGACTGGACTTCTGAAGCTCTGCCTGGTGTTTGGTTGTGGATCTCTGCATCTGTTTCCATCAGTCTTTGGAGAAAAGCTCTGTGATGACAGTTAGGGTATTCGCTGATCTGATCACTGGGGTAAGCCAGTTCAGTTCAGGCACCCTCTCCACTATTTCCAATAGTCCAAGCTGGGGTCATCCTTAGGGATTCCTGGCAACTTTCCTAGCACTGTGTTTCTCTATCCCTATGATATCTTCCTCTATCATGGTATCTCTTTCATTGCTTTTCATATCACAGGGACACATGCTCAACTATGTTCATAGCAGCATTATTCATAATATCCAGAACATGAAAATAACCTAGATTCCCTTCAACTGAAGAATGGATTAAGAAAATGTGGTACATATACAAAATGGAGTACTACTTAGCAGAGAAAAAACAATGACATCATGAAATTTGCAGGCAAATAGATAGAACTAGAAAATATCATCCTGAGTGAGGTAACCCAGACTCAGAAGGACAAACATATGTACTCATATGTGGATACTAGATATAAAACAAAACCCAGGCAACAACCCACAACTTAAAAGAAGCTAACTAACATGGAAGACCCAAAGAGGGACACCCTGGGAAGGGGAAATAGATGAGATCTCTATGAGTAAACTAGAGATGAGGGGAAGGCAGTGGAGGGTAGGGGATAGGGAATGAGAAAATAAGGGAAAGGGATGGTTGGGATGGAACAGGAATTTTTCATTTTTATTTTCCCAATTCCTCTGCTTTTATCTATTACACAAAAAGCTGAGTAAACGTGTAATATTTTTTCTGTGCATTCATGTTTGGCCGGCATGTATGTCTGTGTTCCATGTGTGTTCAGTGCCTGAGGAAGCCAGAAGAAGGTATTGGGTTCCCTGGAACTGGAGTTACAGATGATTTTAAGCTACTATGTGAGTGCTGGGAATTGAACCTGGGTCCTCTGGAAGAGCAGCTGGGGTTCTCAATCTCTCCATGGAGTCATCACTCCAGCCCCCACCACACCAACTATATCACAGTGTGAAAAGGATCTAGAGCTGGCAGGACTCTGTGTTAGTATCTCCCAGGAATAGAAGCCAGGAAAGTAAAGCTACTTAAAGCTTTCAATTGACTGTGTAAGACAAGAAGTAATGGGTGGCCTTGAGTGAAAGAGGCTGAAGCAAAAACTTGAAAAGGTTTCAGACATTAAAAACATTATGTCGGGGCTGGGGATTTAGCTCAGTGGTAGAGTGCTTGCCTAGCAAGCACAAGGCCCTGGGTTTGATCCTCAGCTAAAATAAAAACAACAACAATAGGTGTGCGCTAGGCTAGACTCAGGGACATCTAGCATCTTATCTAATTTTGCCGGGCGGTGGTGGTGCACGCCTTTAATCCCAGCACTCGGGAGGCAGAGGCAGGTGGATCTCTGTGAGTTCGAGGCCAGCCTGGTCTACAGAATGAGTTCCAGGAAAGGCGGAAAGCTACACAGAGAAACCCTGTCTCGAAAACCTCCCCCCCAAAACAAAAAACAAACAAACAAAAAATTATGTGTGTGTGTGTGTGTGTGTGTGTGTGTGTAAGTGTGCATACGTGTGTGTGCCTGTGTGTTTGTGTGTTTGTGTGTTTGTACTTGTGTGCCTGTAGAGGCCAGATGAGGGTAAAAGTTCCCCTGGAGTTAAAGTTACAATTCAAAGTGTAGGTGCTGGGAACTAAACTTGGACCCTGTGGAAAAGCAATAAGCACTCTTGAACGCTCAACCATTTCTCCAGGCCCCAGGTTTTGGACATTTTAAGAGGACAAAATATATAATTGTTTGATGTCTGAAATTATATTAGCTGGGTCAGGAAGTGGAAAGTGATTGGCTGTGGTTTGAGAGGGCAATGAATTCACTTTTGCAACAATGTATAACGTCTTTTCATAAAATACATGGACTGTAAGGCACATTTGTTAAATCCCACTGGACTGGGCCCACCAAGTCCTTTCTGTTCCACCCTCCTTATTTGCTCTGTCACTGTCTCCCTGTGTTGTAGTGCAAATTCCTAATGAAGTATTCTTTGTACCCTCTGCGTCTTCAACTGAATGAAAAGCAAGTGCACATGCTTTCTACTCAGCAGGACTCAGGCTGCATCTGGGCTCCAGGGGTGCATCAGTGATTGCTGAGGGACAGAGCATACTAAGTACATTTACACTTCAGATAGCTGTTCAATAGCAGACTGCCAGTTCTCTCTTTCACTTGAGACCCATAATAGTACTAGGAAGATTTAAAGTAACTACAAGAAGAGGAAAATATGTATTTATGTAATATATTATATGCAATACACAAATACATTTACATGCATTTTATCTAAAAATATTTATTAATATGCAAATTATTATTATGAAAGGATAGAGTTTTGTTAAAGTGAAGAAATAAATTTGGGGTTTTCCATAGCTAAAAATTAAGATCATCTTTATAAATTATCTTTCACTTGTTACACATCTGGTTTAAAAGTTCCTACACTTGTGTGAATTTGTACAGGTATATGTATATGTATAAAGTTCTCTATTCAATGTGTATATTGATTGCAATTATCTGAAAATCTTTACAATATTTTTAATATTTGAGCACATGCATGAAATGACTTCATAACAGATAATGTTTATAATTTAGTATGATTTCTATATGTATTTTTCTGCTCTGAAGTTCATTTGTGGAGTAACTGAGTTTATCCTAATTTGAATGTATAACAAACTGTGGTATTTATACTTTTCAATATACTCATTTATAAAGTAGCTGATCTGATATTCACATGGAATGGAAGCTAGCCAGCATTTCAATGCAAGACACAATCAACTCTGAACATAGCTCACAGAGTGATCTGTGTTGAAAAGCATCCGCTGTCCTTTAGCAGACCACTAAAGTGAATTTAGTGGCTGGGAAAACTGCCAGAGAAACAAAAATGCACACCAAACTCCTTAAACCATAGAATTACAACATCAAAGTAAGTATAATTACTGATGCTCATATCCTGTCCGACTGGGCATTTCTCCTCACCCTGGCAGGATCTCTAAGTCCTTAAAGTAACAACGTCAGGGTACACTTTAGTCTGAGCAATACTTCTCCCAATATTGTTATCTGGAAATTAAATATCTAGGTTTATAGTATAGTACATTTTACACCACAGAATAATGTTTATTTTTAAAGTTGATTTATTTTTACTCATGTATATTAGAGAATTATCATCTGTTGAATAAGAGGAGGAAAAAAGTTTTTTCATAGAAAGAAAACATTTGAAACCAACAGATCACTTGTGCAGATGTGTAATGGTTTGTGTTTAATCTGGCACCAGTAAGGTAGAGGCAAAAACTGAGAAGCTCATGGGAGGTCACTCTGAGCCACTTAGAACTGTAGATTAGCCTGGACTATCAAAGTAAGTTTTTACCTGTTACTTATATAATTGGAAAACAGTCCCATGTTTAGTGCTTTTTACTGTGACATATTTTGAATTAGATAAAAGGTTATGGCTTGCACTGTTCTAAGACTTGGAAGAGGAAAATGATATTCTTTCCAATCACTTTCAATTTTCTATCAGAAATTCCATTTCTTCTATTATTGTATTTCTCTCCATTTAGCAGGTTTTACATTTTTCTTAGTCTCAGTCTCCAAAACCAGTGATTTAAGTGAGCACTCAGTTTTATTTTTATTGGTTTTGCTACAAATGCAATCACCCTTAAGCACATTGCATTCTGTACAATCCGAATGGCTATTAAGATGTTCATCATAAATTTTATAAATACTAGTGGCTAAATTTAAAACAGAATTGTTAAGACAGGGATGGTTCTACACGTGGAGGTAATCCCAGCTCCTGGGAGGTGGAAGCAGGTGGTTCAGAAGTTCAAGATCAATCTCGACTTACTGAGTTTGAGGCCAGCCTGAGCTATGTAAGAGCCTCAAAAATGAGCAAAACAAAACCTGAATTGATTATTTTTAATCTAAATTATATTCAGATAAAAGACAGAATAATAAAATCATTATGTCACAATCACTCATTATTCAGAGCTATTCAAATATCTATGCTCTTTATTTTAAAAAAGTTATTTTATATTGCTAATTATACTTTGTAATTTTATGATGATGATTAGCAAATAAGTAAAACAAAAGAAATCAGAAAACCTTTTAGATGTTTAAGAACTGAAAAGTTCTGAGTATATTTAGCTGTTTTCCATTTCACTTTGATGCCACACTTAAAATCTATTTCTCTTTAAATTTGCCATTTACTTCTCTAAAGTGTTTGGTCAGGGGTATTTG